TATTCCGCTGCAAACACTATTCCCACATTCTATTCCCAAAATACCCAAATCCAATTCCAACCGAATTATCCTCCTACCTTCCCTCAATATCTTCCTATTCGGCTTGCTAATTTTCCTCCTCCGTCTATGGATCAACCCCTTATTGTGAAGCTCAACATTGACAACTATTTAATTTGGAAAAATCAACTACTGAACATGATAATTGCAAATGGTATGGAGGGCTTTATTATTGGGACTCATCAACCACCAGCTCGTTTTCTTGATCTGAATCAACAACAGAGTAATCTTAATTTTTGCTTTGGGACAGGTATAATCGCCTCTTAATGAGTTGGATTTATGCGTCTGTTTTTGAAGACATTATGTCTCAGATTGTTCTTTTTGATACGGCTCAAGAAATTTGGCAAAGTTTGGCTCAAATGTATGAATCTGTTGCTCTTTCTTGAGTTACTGAGTTGAGGACTCAGCTCTAGATCTTGAGAAAAGATGGCTTGTTTGCCGCTAAATTTGTTCAGAAGATTAGGAAAATTTGCAACTGTTTGGCATTTATTGGATACCCAGTGTCTAGAGAAGATCACCTAATTTATTTCTTTAATGGTCTTGACCAAGAGTATAACCCATTTGTTGAGTCGGTGAGTAATCGTCTAGATTCACCGCCTGTTGAGAAGATTCACAGCCTATTCTTCAATTTTGCGGCCTGACTTGCTTGACAACACGCCACTACTCAGCTTAGCTCCCTTCAAGCCAATGTTGCTACCACTTTTCCCATACCCACTCCAAAGACTTCTCAACCCCGTCATTACCAATATTCTAACAGAGCTCCTCCCAAGCCAGTTTAGAATGTTTCAACTCAAGCTGGTTTACTCGGCAAACCACCAAGTTCCCCATTGACTGGTCGCTCTAAACAAACAACTGGAGCACTTTTTAGGTCATCTCCTTGCCATATATGTGGCAAAGATAATCACACTGCCTATATTTGTTATCAGCGGACCAATGTGAGCTATAAACCACCAGTTATGAAGGCCTTTAATGTCACTGCATCCTCAAAAACAGAGCTTGGGTCTACAAATCCATTCCTTGATCCAGCTCTACAAGCACTGTTCAGGACCAATCCTGGTATCTAGACTCTGGGGCTACACACCACTTCACTCCAGATGCTTCTTTGTTGCAAGATGCTGAGCCATACCATGGGATTGATCATGTTGTGGTGGGAAATGGTAAGACTCTTGCAATCTTGAATGTTGGGCATGCTTGTATTCCATCTTCACTGCATAAACCACTACACTTATCTCTAGTCTTACACACACCCGCATTATCTTCAAGTCTAGTCAGTGTCAATCAATTATGTCGTGATAATCAGGTCTTTGTTGGTTTCACCCTGATTTTTTCCTTGTCAAAGATCAGGTTTCCAAGCAAATTCTCCTCCGGGGCAAACTTAACAATGGTCTCTACACCATCTCCTCTTCCAACTCCTCACCAACCTCTTCAATCCAACCTTCATGCTTGCTCCATCAATTGTCTCCTGATCTCTGGCACTCTCGTTTGGGACACCCCGCCTCTCCTATAGTGCATAGGATTTTACAATTTTGTAATCTTTTAAGTTCTAAGCAATCTCAGCTTTCCTTTTGTAATTCCTGTAAAATGGCTAAAAGCCATCGTTTACCTTTTGTTTTGTCAAACTCAAGAGCAATGAAATCCTTTGAATTAATTCATACTGATGTGTGGGGTGCTAGTCCTGTTCAATCAATCACTAGTGTTCGTTATTTTGTGTTGTTTATTGATGATCATACACGCTTCACTTGGCTTTATTTACTAAAAACAAAAGATGAAGCTTATATAGCTTTCCTTCGGTTTAAAGCTTTAGTGGAAACTCAATTTAATTCAAAAATTAAACGAGGTCAATCTGATTCCAGCTACACCAGAACAAAATGGGAGGGTCAAACGAAAACATCGTCATGTTGTCGAGACTGGTTTGACCCTTATGGCTTATTCTAGCATGCCTTTAGCATATTGGCCTTATGCATTTCAAACAACTGTCTATTTAATTAATCGAATGCCTACCTTGATTCTACATCATAAATCCCCTTATGAACTCTTACATAACAAATTGCCACTCTACGATTCCTTACGTGTATTTGGCTGTTCTTGTTTCCCATTTATCCGTCCTTTCAATGCTCACAAATTACAATACCGATCCGTGGAATGTGTGTTTCTAGGATATAGCTCGCAACATAGGGGTTATGTGTGTCTTGATTACCACTCCGGTAAAATATACGTCTCTCGCCATGTGGTGTTTAATGAGTCGTCCTTTCCTTTCAAATCCTTTTCCTCTCAGGCTAGCCGCGCTATGACGATTGAGTCTTTTGCTTCCCTTGCTTCCTTTTTACCTTCTTTTCCTACTTCTACTCCCACATCTTCTCCTTATCCTATCTCCGCTAGTCCTCCACTTCGTACTCCTTTCTCCGTGTCCTCGTCTCCCACCTCGATCGTCTCTACTCATTTTCTTTCCTCCCCTTCCTATTCTTCTACTCATTCTTCCTTTCCACATGGTCCTTTTCCTCCTTCTCCTACTTTATCTACTAGTCCTCAACATGCTCCACCACCTTCATTTGCCGCCGATGTGTTTACTACATTGCCTGACATTCAATTGCATAAGCCCCCATCCCCTTTTAATGTGCATCCCATGACTACAAGAGCGAAAAAAGGCGTGTTTCAACCAAAAGCATTCCAAGTAGGCCTCAGTCAGCCTACTGGTTATAAGCAAGCCTCTCACCATCCGGAATGGATTGGTGCTATGAATGCTGAGTACAATGCACTAGTTCAGTATAACACATGGTCTCTTGTGCCCCTCCCACCGAGTCACACCATCATTGGTTGTAACAATGGTACTGTGGACTGTTACAAGGCACACTTGGTTGCAAAATGCTTCAATCCGACTGAAGGTCTTGACTATTTTGAGACTTTCAGTCTAGTTGTTAAGCCCACCACTATCCGCATAGTTCTCACTATTGCCTTATCTAGAGGTTGGTCCATTCACTAGTTAGATGATCTCATTGAAGAGGTTTATATGCAACAACCGCCCGGTTTTGTTGATTCCTCTAATCCTACTGCTGTGTGCTGTCTCCATAAATCTCTTTATAGGCTTAAACAGTCTCTTCGCGCCTGGTATACCAAGCTTAGCACTTTCTTACTTCAATGGGGTTTCACTGCTTCTCTTGTTGACACATCCATGTTCTATTTTCATGGTCTTCAGGGCACCCGGATTGTGCTAGTTTATGTGGACGATATTCTTCTTACTGGCAGTGCTGACTCCGTCATTCATGATTTGATTTTATATTTACAATCGAACTTTGCCATCAAAGATCTCGGTCCCTTACATTATTTCTTAGGCATTGAAGTTGCTGTTAGTTTACCATCCATCCCAAAAGCTTAAGCTGTTAGGAGGTATGCCAACAATAGTTTTATACTTTAACACTCCCCCTTACTTATGGGCTGGACAATGGGCAATCGTGTGGGTAAATTAATTGGAAAGCCCAACACGTGAATATTTAAGCCCGAGATATATTAAAGACCCAACACATGATAATTTTAAATGGGGATAAAGAGTGCACTTACGGGGGTTTGAACTCAGGACCTCCCTCTCTGACCCATCCCAAAAGCTTAAGCTGTTAGGAGTTGGGCCAACAATAGTTTTATACTTTAACAGTTACTTGTCATGCTGATACAATTCATTTATGCCAAGAAAAGTATATTCAAGATCTCTTATCCAAGGTTGCCCTGCTTGATGCTAAACCCATGACAACACCCATGGCTTCTGGCCCGGTTCTTTCGTCTCAAGATGGTTTGCCTTTGGCTAATTCTACCGTCTACCGTAGCATTGTTGGAGCCTTACAATATTGTAGCATTACTCGCCTGGATATTAGCTTTGCTGTTAATAAAGCTTGTCAGTTTCTCCATCGTTCCACTGACTGCCATTGGCAAGCTGTGAAATGGATCGTCCATTACCCCAAAGCCACTCCATCCCATGGTTTGTTACTGCAACGGTCCCCTAAGCTCTCTCTTCAATGTTTCACATATGCAGATTGGGCTTCTTGTCCTGATGATTGTAAGAGTACTGGTGGTTACTGCGTTTATCTTGGTCACTGCCTTGTTTCTTGGTCCTCCTCTAAACAAAAAGTAGTCTCTCGCTCCAGTACTGAGTCTGAATATAGGGCTCTTGCTAATGCTGTTGCTGAAATCAGTTGGCTTGAGTCTCTTCTCTATGAGCTGCACATTATTTAAGCTTCTGTTCCCACTATTTTTTTGTGATAATCTTAGCACGACATATCTTGCAGCTAATCCCATTATGCATGCATGGAGTAAACATGTTGAAGTTGACCATCACTTTGTTCGTGATCGTGTGGTCAAGGGTTCCTTATTGGTGCAGCACGTTCCCTCTCCTGACCAAATTGCTGATGTGTTTACTAAGCCTCTTCCTCAAAAAGAGTTTCTAGCTTTTCGTTCCAAGCTCACTGTCCTCGTTCGGCCTGTGTAAGATGGGTTAATGGGCCTTGTTAGAATTGTTTTTGGGCTTAGTAATCAATTTGTTTGTCCTTAATATCTGTTCGGCAGCCTTTATATAAAAAGGCATCTTATGCATTTCTCAGTTAATAAACGACAATACATTTTATCAGAAGTAGCAAATTCTTGTTTTCTTCGTCTCCTTCTTCTTCTTCCTTCTTCCTTCTTCTAGAAACCTGTTCAACCTTGTGTTAAACCTTGTGTTAATTTAGCTTTGCTCAATTCTATTAGTTTCAAATTTCCAAGTTGCCACGTTTTGCACAGAAACATATTGGTACCTCTTCCGACACAAATTTGAATGTGTTATGTATGGACTTAACAATATAGCATAATTTTTTTGTTTCCAGGAATAGTTTTGCTTAAACACTGTATAATATGCTGGGATAAAATTAATACAATTAGCTAAAAAGCTGAATCTCATTTGTCTCTGTTGAATATCGCAGGAGGAATTTGAATCGTTGTCTTGAAACACAGGTATTTCTTCTTCATGATGTTGCTTTGTAATGTTATTACATATGTATTTGTGCATAAGAACTCTCACATAATTTGCGGTTGTATGCAGAGTTCTTTTTTTTTCTTTTTCCTTTTGTCTTCTTAATCTTGATGCTTACAAATTTTTAATGCGCTACAATGAAAAATAGTAAGATGATGCACAAAAATAGTTTCAAGTGCATAAACCGACATGGAGTTCATTTGTGGTATTTGGTTCGCACGCTGTGCTACTGTTCTTGTTGCACAGACTCTGTTGTGTTGATCCATTATCATGCATAGCATAAGGAAATAGATTTCGATTTTACGACAGAGAAAAGGTTATGCAGAGTAGCTTATGGGTTTGACATGTCTCCATGGAGCATATTGTCGATTTTGTCACAAAGAGTATTGACACTCGTCATCTTAAATAGTAAGATCACTGTTCAGAGTCCAGATAAATAGATAATGCAGAAAAGGATCTAATCCAAAAAAAAAAAAAAAAAATTGTCTCAACCAATTCCAACCGTTTCCTGATTCTGACATTGGATAAAGATCTTGCTGGCATTCAACTGTCTATAAGATTATGACATACTAGTATCAAGGACGTGGCCCCATTCGTGACAATATATATATATATATACATTTTTTTTTATTTTATATGTCTTCTTTTGTAAAAAATTTATCTGATATTATTGAGTGTGATTAACAATATTTCAGAAAAACATTTTTCTATTCACTTTGGAATCTTTTGTTAAACTTGACTGTGTATAGCATTTTCTTCTCCAAACATAGATATGCAAACATGAATAATACCAATCTGATATTCAGTCAGGGAAGATACATTAAGACTTATATACATACAATAAAAGAAATCCATGACTTATGTGAAATTGATTAGCCCTTGAGTCGATAATGTATGACAATAACTAACACTTCGATACCTAAATTGTATTTTTTTTGAAGGAATTATAGAAAGTGGTAATAACTAATAAGTTGTCCTCAAAAGTGAAATAAAACCTAATAAAAAAACTTTACAGTTTAAGTATGAAGGTTGATGCTAACACTGATGGCGTTTTACAAAGATGGGTGTGTGGCTGAAACTTTAGTTCCTTTCCAATGTGGGACTCCTAACATTTATTGTTGTGAGTTTCAAACCATTCAATATTATAATAAATATTTTTCGGGTGTCCAGACTAACACAACAATAGAAGTGGTGTACGAGTGGTAAAGCATGCATGTTAATTACATGCCCTTAGACAGAGGCACACCGCTTATGGTCAGTTCGGGTTGATTTGGTTGATGATTGGTTTACGTTAGGTCAGGTGACTTTTGGTGCGGTTTCGGCCAATTTTATCGATTATTTCGGTTGAATCAATTACTCTAAACACCCTTACTCACTATATTTTTCGGTAAATTTATCACAAAGTATAACATTTGTTAAGTTTAACATATAAAATAGCATTTTGTTAAGTTTAGCATATAAAATAGCATTGTATCGGAGTGATTTTTCAATCAAATGTCAAAACTTAGTATTGGAACATCAATTTGATTTTGTATTAGAGATGCTAATCATGTCCATAAGTTAAAGCATAAGCATCAATGGTCAGATAAAAAAAAAGTAAATGTCATATTTGGCCAAAAAAATAGGAGTTATCTCGCTTTCTTCTTGCAACTTATGATAGCACAAAGATCCCTGGTTTTCCAAACTTGTAATAAATTGTAACTTCTGCACTTCTCTCTCCCTCTCTCCCTCTCTCTATTGGCCGTTATGTATTGTTAGCGACAAGCACACCTCTACATGCACGTAGTAGAAAAATAAATTGAAACAAAAATAATAGAAAAACATAAAATATAAAGATTTACATGGTTTGAAAAAATTTCTTACGTCCACGGGATATGGAGAAAAATTCACTAACAATTTCAGAATTACATACTCAACAAATTTTCTTACTTTCTCTCTCTACCCAAAATCCCTTACACCATTTACCTATTTCTGTTCTCACTTTTTTCTATTTCTCTCAAAAAGACACTCTTTTTTTGCACTTTTTTCTGAGCATACATAAAACCTACACAAAACACTTATTTATAGACTTCTAATAAGCTAAAATATAACTCTTGCCAAAAAAAAAAATAATAATAATAACTTACCCAAAAATACAAAGTAACTTTTTCAAAACTAATTTGAGTCACATACCCAACATATTTTTTATTAATTGTTCCCTAATAAGATATTCCTTCCTCTGATCCACCTCTCTTTCCTGAAGCTGGCTAATTTGTCCATACTACAATCACGCTTTAGGTAATTTGAAGATTTTGACCATTGTGCAGCACATTCACACTGACTTTGACTTCAGTCTGGCCTAAGAAATTGCCTGCATGTTCCTTTCATCCTCATAACTTCAATTAAAGATCTGATTGTTTGAAAATGCAGGTTGGTTTTTGGTCCTTAATCTATAACCAAATTGCCTTTCTCAAAGAAAGTAATCGAAGATTCTATGTTGGAGTCATCAAATCTAATATTTTAAAGAGGTCATATGAGAAATCTGTGTATGGCTAATTTAAAAGTGATTCCTCAATGTGAAAGTTTGTGTTGTCAGCTTTTTCTGTTAAATTCATGTTATCCAAAAGTCAATTTCCAACTCCTGTTAAAGTTTTCTACTTGCCAGCCTAACCATAGTTGTAAAGGAAAAGGTCTCTAGAAAACAACACTTCTTACAGGAGATTTTGAACAAGTTTTTCAGTGCTTTCTCATAGTTTTAATCACTGAAATATGTCCTTTTTTCCCCCCCTCACCTGGGCCCTCTTACTTTGAATAATACATTATATTTTCTATAGTGCAACATGACGATGCCCTAATTTTAGCCTTGCTCTTTATCTATTGAAGTTTTGGACTTTTTGGTGTTGCTTGTACCGACTCCAACAACGTGATTCTCGTTATAAAACTTTGACTAGGTTCTCTTAGATCTAATATCTAGTCAAACTGATTATTTTTGAACTAAATTACCAGATCATGCCTATATTTGCTATTTCCAATGTGATTATCTGCTGATGATCTTCATGCAGAACTTTTCGAAACCATTTTTCATTTGTCTGAGATAGTCATGAACACATCGATATCATTCCACACAGACTCTTCTATGTTCATCATGCATGATTCATTTCCAGGGTCTTGTGAATTCGGTTTCGAGTATTGGGTGGTGTGAAGGACCAAGATGTCTTGCCAGATTCATTGCTAAAAACTGCAGGTATGTTTTCATTCACATGTTGAACTTCAATTGCAAAACCCCATGTGCTGAGGATATAAGATTTCATGTCTTTACACCACCGTTATTGATGAAGTGTTTGTGTATCCGTGTCTGAATTTGAGGGCCCCTTTACTACTAAGTATTTTAATTACAAATGCTTAAATAATTTCTACCATTAATTTATTTTCTTTTGACAATAATATGTTCAGATAATTTCTTCTCAAAATGACAGTCCTTACATCCTGAAATTTTAAGTGATAAATAGTTTGGATGCTTTGTCATGACCCAAGATCATCTAACAAAGTAACATTGCTGCCCGCTTATTCTTGAATTGTATGATCTACTTGTACGCATTACACATTCCGATCAGATTTTTGCCTCTAGTTAGTAACATGATTTTCAAATTCATTAGACTTGGACGTGCTTGATTTCTACCCCCAAGAAGGATAAAAAGAGAAGTAAGAAGATGTAACAAGAAGATTTTGGGCCTGTTTAGTTTGCTGATTCGTGTTTTTAATTTGAGTTGAGATGTGACTTTATGTGAGAGTTAAAAAAAAAGTGATTATCTCAGAGAGCTTTTTACTGTAGCAAAATTTGAATTCTAAACTCGAATCGGTGAAATGAACGGAGCCTTAATTTAGATTTTCCTTTTATCCTTTTTGTTGAATACCAAGAAAAACAAGTTGAGTTATATGCTCTGTTTGATCTGAGGGATTTAGAGTGTGAAAGATGAAGAGTTGTAGGGATGAAGAGGGTTACAATAATTCTTTTACTTTATTTGGTGAGAGAGAGAATTGTGAGCATCGATCATAGTCATATATTTTTCATTTTACTATATATTGATAATTCTTTTTGAAGGGTAAAATAGTATTTTTAACGTAAATTTCAAGATTGACGGGCCCAAAAAGAGATTCTCACCCTCTCTCTCATTGTCCCTCCCACCAAACACACTGGTAAGGATGGACTTCTTACATAAGTTGTGAGTGGGCTTGGGCCCATGTACATAAATAAATGAAAGAACTAATTATGCCATCATATTGCTAACGATAGGGTATCAAGCTTTGAGTCTTGTACTCAAAGAAGCACATAGTACGTCACAATCATATATAATATGGTATCAAGCTTTGTTTATTCTTGATGCGTTAGTATGATCAATAAATCTTCGTAACTTTATATATCTTAGTGCACTATCACAAAATTAACTGCCCCTTATGATCTTGTGGCATTTGTGTATGACCTTTTTGCTAATTACATTTTAGGCTGTTTAGTTGATGTATTTAAACTTTTAATTCTAATTACGGTAGTGTTTTTCTCTCATAAAAAATTTGAATAAAAAATTCTCACCAACGGTTCTCTTACCAAATTTTCATCAATGAATCAAAATCACTGACTTGAATGCATAAACCAATCAGGCCCTTTATATCACATTAGTAGAAGTTCTTCACCGCGACTTAGGAGAAAGTTATGGTTCGACCTTTTATATATGTCAAATTTTATGTTCAACTGTTTTTGTTATAATTCAAGAAAAAGAAAACTCAGTTTGCAAAGGGCTAATTAACCATGTTTGTAATTATGTGTGAAAACTGTTAGATTAGCTCTAGTTGAAGTTTAAATATTACTAGCAAGCAAAATCCAGTTCTCTTTCCCACTTGCAGCAATTTTATCCCTTTCTCTCATTAATTAACGTCTGAATCGTAGTCATTTTTACTTTCATTTATCAATTTATATATATATTTATATATATATTTTTCAATTCTTAATGAACTTATAAGCTTGTAAGATAGTTAAATGTATCCAAAAACTTGTGAAGTATATATACTTGAGATCATTTTGAGTTTGAAATAAGAATTAAAGATGCAAACTAAAACGAAATTTTCTTAAAAAACATACTAAATATGAAAACTGATAAATTTAGGGGGGACAAATAAGGGGGGAAAGTAAAATTTGGTGGCAATGGGTCTACATTTTAAAAAAAGGCCTTGGGCCCACGCCGGAGGGGGGGTACTGCGGCGGGAGGGGGGCAGCTGGGAACGATGCAGCTCCGTCTCTACTTAATTTCTTTACGAAAATTTCTGTCACAAAAAGTCACAATAACACCTTATTATTTAAAATGACATAAATAATAAGTCTCCACAAAATCATAATAAATCATTTACTTTTCTCTTTCTTTTATTAAGAAATCATGGAATATCCAAGCTAGCGAAAATGGAATATAGTTGGACAGTTCTCCGGCTAGTTATTGAAATTATTCGAATTCTTTGTTCTTCCTTTTTAAGGAAAT